CAAATTGTTCTTTCGTTAACTCCACTGTCTTGGGGAATAATGCCAACTAAGTTATGTAGTATTTTCAGGAACATTAAGTTTTTGACTGAAACATAGAGCCTTTACTGATTTTTTTTGTTTGTTTCTACAGATTTGGAACATAGACAACATCAGAAAAACTCACCTTAAAATTTGAGGTCAATAATGTCAGAAACAATTGTGAGGGGAAAAGAATGTTCTTACATAGCTATTCTAAAATTTAAGGAGTACTGTTGACCATAATATTGCTTAATTTTCTTGCTGCAATTAGAAGCAAGTGAATTGTTTCAAAGTAGGCTTTGTGTGTATGTGTGTGTGTAGAGTGTGAAAGAACTGAAATGTTGATGCTTACAGCACTTGGACTATGCATGTGTATCAAAATTTGCCTGCTTCTTTATATGGGAGGCTTGCTCTTCGCACCCCAGTTTATTTAATGTGAGACACATTCAAAAACAACACACTCATTCTAGGTGATTCTGTGGTGCCATGAAATTTAAAACAATTTTGGAAAAAAGATTAGTCAATTTTAAGCAAGAGTCACATCTTTTGAATTTTTGACTATCGGTGTAGTACCTGACAAGAAATAAAGAAATAATTACCCTTTACCATTTATAATTTCTAGTATTTCTCTGAAAGATTGTTTTGGGGACAAAAGTGACCTGACATGTCCAATCTCATTTTGGATAAAAAGCTAGCATCTCTTAAAATCTGATTGTTTGCTTGCAGATGTAAGTAAGAATTATGGAGAAGCAATTCCTTTAAGAGGATTACTCATTTCAATTGTTTTTAGTAATCTAGGCTTTGTCTGTAGGGAACAAAACAATGATTTTTAAATATTATTTGTGAAATGTGTTTAAGGGATTGTAGGACCTTTGTATATTTGATAATATTTCTTTTATTTCTTTAGTGTTCGCAGTTAATGTTCTGTTCTGCTATGCAATCACTTATATGCATTTCTCTTTACTTTTTTTTTTTTTTTTTTTTTTAGATTTTCCTGGATATATAAACGACCAAGTCTATTTAAAACTGTGGCAGTAGTTTGCAGTTCTAGCAGAGAGAAAAGTTGTAGGGCTAAACTTTTATTTTCTTTCTTATAAAAGCTTCCAAAGGCATTTTATAGTTCTCTTTAACAAACATTGTGTACAACCTCTGGGACATCAATATTTGGATCAAAGCAGACCTAGCTTATTTTCTGCTTGTTGTAAATTAAGCAAACAGAAATAGTAAAACATTTTATTATTTTATGAAGGAAAATTTTCCCCTTTATTTTGCTATAATAAAAATAAAATGATTCACTGTTATAAAAAAAGATAAGAGATTTAAATTGAGTAATATAGTGTAATTTTACTCTTTTTCCAGAAGCATATATTCAACAAAGCTCTAGTCAGCCAATAAGAAAAATGCTCTAATGGAAGAGTAGAGAGTAATTTATTCATAGGCCAGTTAATAAGACCCTGGAATGTTCCTGCACAGAGCAAATTTTCCAACCACATTTCCTTATTCTGGCTTGTTCTGCTCAGTAAGTTACCTTTCTAAGACATTATAAGGTCTTTTAGCCACATCGGACCTTTTGACCCAGGAATGCCACTTCTAAAAATTAGAAAATAAATAACGCTCCAAGATTTTCTCCAAAGCACTGTAAATAATGGGGGGAATAGGATCCTGGAGTTAGTCAAATGTACAACAACTGAGGAATCATTCCACAAAACAGAACATTAACAGGATGGAATACTGTTCAACATTAAATTGACGCTTTTCACATGTCTTTTTAAATGCTTACTTTATAAAATGTGCACACACAGATGCATACCCACAATTGAAAACAAAGTACAAAAATATTAACGCTGGTTATCCTTAAGTAGTAGGGTATGACGGACTTTTAAAATATCTAATCAGTATTTTTAAATTTTTCAATAATGACTATACTTACTCCATTAATTAAAAGAAAATCTACAAATAGTAGAGCTTATACTTTGGGAATTGGGATCTTCAAATAATGATGCATCAGTAAGCTCTTAAATGATGGTAACTGTGGGAAACAAGTAGGTATCTTTTCCTCTCCAGCCTGCATTACTCTTCTCACCCCACTCTAACTCTTCTTTTTTCACATCAGCCCAACCATAATTCATTAATTAGAAATATCAAGAAACTGAAGGCGAGTATTCAATAGTTTAAAATTTTTAAACTGCTCAATTAAATGGTTGTTAGAATATATATTTTTTAAAAAGAGGTAAAATAACCCAAGGGTTAAAAGAGCCTACGAACTTTAAAATTAGATGTGGGTTTGAATCTTCGTTTGCCACTTACCAGACCTCACACAAGTTGCGCTTTCCTTATCTGAAATAGGAGTACCACTCTGCTCAGTGAATTGCTGTGAGTTTGAAATGAGAGGATGCATCTAAGGCATAAGATGGTGGCAGGCATTTGTCTTAGTCTGTTTTGTGTTGTTATAGCAGAATACCTGAGAAGGTAATTTTTTTTTTTTTTTTTTTTTTTTTTTGAGACGGAGTCTTGCTTTTGTCATCCAGGATGGTGTGCAATGGCAACCTCCGTCTCCCGGGTTCAAGTGACTCTCCTGCCTCAGCCTCCCGAGTAGCTGGGATTACAGATGCCCACCACCATGCCTGGCTAATTTTTGTATTTTTAGTAGAGATGGGGTTTCTCCATGTTGGCCAGGTTGATCTCGAACTTCTGAATTTGTGATCTGCTCACTTCAGCCTCCCAAAGTGGTGGGATTACAGGCGTGAGCCACCATGCCTGGCCCCAAGAAGGTAATTTATAAAGCACAGAGATTAATTTCTTGCAGTCTGGAGGCTAAAGAACCATGATTGAGGGGCTGGCTTCTAGTGATAACCTTCATGCTGTGGTCAGCCCATGGCAGAAGGGCAAGAGAGGGCAAGAGGAGATGAGTCAAGAAGGGAGAGAGAGCAAGCAAGCATGCAAGGGTGTGCCCAAGAGTTCCTTGCAGTCTTAAGTCCTTTTATTATTACTTTTTTACAATTTGTGTAAATTTAAGGGGTACATGTACAATTCTGTTACATGGATATAGTGCTTAGTGGTGGCCTGGGCCTTTTCATGTAACCATCACCCAAATAGTGTACACTGTACTCATTAAGTAATTTCTCAGGCCTCATCATCCTCCTCTCACCCTCCCTCTCTTCTGAGTCTCCAATGACTATACTCAGCATTAATCCATTCATGAGGGCTTTGCCTCCCATAAGGCCTCATCTCTCAACACTGCTGCACTGGGGATTAAGTTTCCAACACATACTTTCTGAAGGACACATTCAAACCATAGCAGCACTCAATAAAAGGTAATGGCTATTACTGTTTTCTAGTAATGTTATTGCTGTTTTGGGTAAATAACCTCCAAGTTTTAATTTTCCTGTGGGGGGAAGAAAAAGCCTAGTGGGTACTATGACTATTCAGTTATTTGGACATCTCAGATCACTAAAACTTCAAAAAGAATTTGGGAGTCCTATATGGAGCTGTCAAAATTTTCTTTACAAAGTCGGTATTAATCAATTTTCCCTCAAATGTCTTGAATAGATGATGCTTTCAAACTATAATCACTAACCCACCTTATAGTCAATTGCTACGTCTGAATTCTCTTTAATGGTTTCTCCTGCTTGTTTCTAGGAGGCTGGGAGGGTTGAACTGCGTAACATCCCACATTCTAAATTGGTCTAATTATTCCCACTTGAGGTCAGCTGATTTGTTCCTCCATCTCCTGTATCTTCTGTAAACCGAGATGTAGTCTATAAGTTTGATTAGATTTAAGCAGAACAGCCTTGACAAGAATAAATACTTCATGGGTAGTGATGAACTTCATCTTGAAACATGACTATTCCTTGGCCAAGTTAAGTGTGGAGACTGTGTGTGCCCTAGGCAGATTTATGGTTCCCAAGGAGAGCAACACAAAATGAATCAAAATAATTTGTGTTATTAGAAATCCAATTGTTTTAAAATCATAAATTTTTGTGAGAATTGTGTTACCAAGTTCTTTTTCAGAAAAGATTTTACCTTGAAAGGCTAGAGCTAGCAAGTCAACACCAAAACTAAAATAAAATGAGATGCATTAATGAAAAAAATAACAAAAAAAAACCAAAGTAGGTATTTAAACCCCACCAACAAATTTACCATCACTATTATTTCATAAAGGAAAACATTTGAATACTCCCTAAAAAAGTAGAAGATACTTAAGTCATCATTCCCAAGAAAGGACAGTTGGCAACTGCATGCGAAAATTACCCTTATTTTTTTCATTTTGTTAAAAATCAGTAAGCATTTAAGGATTAACATCAGTCTACAAACTGGTAATTGATGCAAGATGCTTTACATGAATGAATTTGTTCTAGCTACTTCATGGGAATGTTCATTTGACAAATACTAACCAAACACTTACTATGCTATTAAAAGAATTCAGGAGCAAATGAGGTCAAGTATATGAAAACACTATATATAGTGCCTTGTAGATTGCCAAGCATCATTAAAATATATGGTATTATTACAAATATATATTGTTACATAATTATATAATATATATTACATATACATATCATATATATAATCAATCTGTAATTATATATACAGATAATTATATATATAATTACAGATTGATTATATATATAATATAATCAATTTTATATAATATATATATATATATAATTACAGATTGATTCTTAAAAAGAGATTACCCAACACATGTTTTAGTGGCTTAGTAATTTTCTATGTTCGTGCTATCAAACAAATAGTTTTCAGAATTCTTAAGAATCCCCATTTTCCTTTTTTTAAAAAATAAGTAGTTATATTTGTGATGTAGTTCATGATTCTGCCATGTTCTGCTTTATGGAAACCAGGATGTTACTATTCCCTCAGATGGTTGACTCCCAAGGGAAAGTTATTAAGCTAGAAATTGCTGCTATAATAACTGGTACATATACTCTGGATTCTAAAAAATAAAATGTCACAGGGTCTAAAAGGCAGATTCAGGCAAAGAGAAAATTTTATTTTCTTATTCTTGAAATGGTTGCAAGAATTTTCAATGTTAAAGTTCACTTTGAAGTACGATCAAGAAATAATGAGATACCAAATGTAAAAATTATGCAGTTTTCTAATTTTCTCCATTGCTTCTTAAACCACTGAAAATAATTTCACAGTTCAACACATTTAGGCATCTTCTTCTTCATTTTCTTCATTTTTTCCTTCTTTAGGCAACAATGGATCAATCTTGAGTAATAAACCTTCACTTGTTGAACTACGAAGGAAAGCACGTATCACAAAGGGACCTGGAAACAAAAACAAGAATCAACTTTGATTTTATTCCACAAAACCACTGCATGAGCAAATATAGTAAGTCCTCACTTAATATTCTAACTAGGTTCTTGGAAACTGCAACTTCGAGCAAAACAACTTATAAAGAAACCAGTTTTACCACAGGCTAACTATAATAAAGTTAAGTTTCTACAGCATATGTCTAGTCACAAAAATATCACCAAGCTTCTAAATAAAGACCTCAAACGCTTCTAATATTAACCATTGAAATAAATGTGAACTATACATACATTTAAGATTAATAAAAACAAGTAAGATAATTATTTACCCAACTTGGGGAATCAAAGTGACAGGAGTCATAGTAAAAACATAGCTACAGTTTTCACTTTGCAAACACTTATTCTTTAAGTCAAAGAATATGACTTAAATCAAAGAACAAGTGTTTGTAAAGTGAAACTGTAAGAAGCACCTCCTGCCACCCACCATGCAGTTCAAAAACAAACTAACAAATATGGTTGGTCCACTGAGTACTTTGATACCACATCATCTATTATCCTGCATTTGTATGATTATCATATAGTTGAGACATTTTTATTTTACAACAGTTTGTATTCATTCATTCATCTTCCAATTCCCTTATTCTAGTTCAGGGTTGTGGTGGCCAGAGCCTATCCCAGCAGGTCAGAACATAGGTGGGAACCAACTCTGGATAAGACAGCATCTCATTGCAGGGCACACGTACATACCTCCCATACTCACACTGGGACCATACAGACACACCAATTAGCCTAACATCCTTGGGATGGGGTTGGAAAGTGAGGTACCCAGAGAACACATGCAGACATGAGGAGAACATGCAAACTCCACACAGACAGAGGCTCTGGCCAGGAAGCTTTTTTTTTTTTTTTAATCAATGTTATAATGAAATGACATTGAAAAAACAGACGCTATTCAAAGACCTGCTGTACAAATATACAACAGGAAAACCTGTAGAACTCATGTCGTATTTTCACATGAAAAGTACTGTATTACTGAACTAATATTTTGAATTAAAAGGGGAAGACAGTTTCATTTCTAGAAGACAAACTAGTTGTACTCTAGAATATTAGAGATTTATCTTTGAAACTACACATACTCACTAATAATTCATTTCTCTCTTCGAGAAGATGATCACCTAGAGTTTATTTTATTGAAAAGTCAACAGTGAAGGGAGTAGGTGGTGATATTTACATTTGATGGAAATATTACGAATATTTATTTAAAACTGTCAGCACAGATGCTACCTTTATGTTACCACACAGTTGATAAAATTTCCTAAAAACTAAAATGCTTTTCTTAAGAACAATGTTAAGGGGCTTCATTTAAAACAGCAAAAACACAGCCAGGCACAGCAGCTCATGCCTGTAATCCCAGCACTTTGGGAGGCCAAAGTGGGTGGGTCACCTGAGGTCAGAGTTTGTCACCACCCTGACCAACATGGTAAGACCCCATCTCTACTAAAAATACAAAAATCAGCCAGCATGGTGGCAGACACCTGTAATCCCAGCTACTCAGGAAGCTGAGGCAGGACAATCACTTGAACCTGAGGGGCGGAGGTTGCAGTGAGCTAACATCATGCCACTGCATTTGGTGACAGAGCAAGACTCCGTCTCAAAAAAATAAAATAAAATGGCAAGAAGAGAATCCATATATTTAAACATGCTAAGGGGCTTTATTTGAAATAGCAAAAAGAGAATACCAACATTTTGAGGATTTGCTGCCCATCATCTACTCCTACTATTGTCTCAGAGGATGTTGTACTGAAATCAAAGTTCTCTGTGGACTGTAAGAATCTATACATGGGAGATTGAGGAGGGCTAACATTAGGAGAAATACCTAATAAAGATGACAGGGGGATGGATGCAGCAAATCACCATGGCACGTATATACCTATGTAACAAATCTGCATGTTCTGCACACGTATCCCAGAACTTAAAGTATAATAGAAAGAAAGAAAGAAAGAGAGAAAGAGAGAGAAAGAAAGAAAAAGAGAAAAAGAAAGAAAGAAAAAGAAGGAAGGAAGGAAGGAAGGAAGGAAGGAGGGAAGGAAGGGAGAGAGAGAGAAAGAAAAAGAAAAAGAAAAAGAAAAAGAAAAGAAAAGAAAAGAAAAGCAAGCAAGCATGCATATACAATTATTTAGTAGTATGGACATATTTAGGACAAGAGAATTAACAAGTGTGGTATTTATTCATCAGTATGGTTAACTCTCAAAGAAATGCAAAATAGCTTAAGATTGTGTTTTAATTATAAGCTTGGTTATCAAACTAAACCTGATAAATTCTTATTATGGTAAGCCTACAAATGAACAGTAAATTCAGTATAATGGACCCTTGCTTGGCTTCAACCATCCACAAGTGAAATTTGTCTGCGGAAGGAATTTGAAGAACACACAATGCAATGATAAAGGAATGGGACCAGCCGGTGTTCTAGCCTACTACACAACTTTCGAATCTCCATCGAGTTGAGTGATTCTCTATGAATCTACTCATTTATAAGTGACCTCATGACACAATAAAATGATCTTCTTTCTTTCCTGTAATAAATAAGATTAAGAAAACCAACTGCTAGTGCCAATGACAAAGTGAATGATCTGGCTTCAAAATACCATTTTAGAAATAATTCTAGTCCCTAACATCATTGTAAGTTTAAAGCAATCAGTTACAGTTTTCTTTCAAACTTTGTTACATTTGTTAGTAGTAATAATGTAGGAGTCTACAAAGGTTTCAGGATGCATTCCTTCTTAATGCTAGAGAAATGCTTTGGATAATTAAATTTTATTTTATTTATGTAATCCCTGGAAATATAAAACGTGCACGTTAACTTGATGTTTTATTTAATATTTTACATTTTGCTATTATACTTGCATGTTAACTTGATTATTTTCTTCATATTTTACATTTTTTAAAGTATCATAGGGTCATAGGGAAGTCTACCCTCAGCAAACCACTTACCCAAACTCAGCGGTCTGTGCCTACAAACTTCATTAATAACTGCTTGCAGATTGGCAGCTATCTGGTCACTTGACATATCCAACTGAAAGAAAAGAATACATGTAACATTAATGATTAGAAAGCAAGAAGATAATACAGTTATTCTAGACTATTTTTCAAATATTCAACCAATGCAAATTATCCATTAAGTGACCCTACTGTGAAAGGGAAAAACCTCTATAGTTCTTTGTCTCAAATGACACATTTACATGTCTTCACATGTCAAGATTTAATAGACTTATAGAACATATTACAGCAAATTGAAGTGGAAGATTTTCCACTTTAGAGTCCTTGACTTCCAAGTAATTTCCCCAAAGCATATCTTGGAGCAGAATACATCATTCCCTACACCCACCCCCCAAAGGAAACAATGATATTTTCCCTTGAAGTCTGTCAATTTAAAGGAAAGTAAGAAAATGTTTAGAAATTAATGTTTTCATGAGTCCAAAATAAAACTGCTTGCTACACGCATTCAGACAATACATCTCACATGAGACAATTTCAAGATATTGTCTAACATTGTAATTTTTCAAACGGTCTATGTAATAACGATTACCTTGTCATTAAGCAGTAAGTAAATATACAACGAATGAGTCGTATTCATAAAACTCTTAAACCTAACTTACACTCTTGAAAAGTCTTTGTGTTTATTATTCAAATTCAATGACTCTTATTCTTCCTAAATATTCCAGTTAAAATCTGTTATATTACATTCAAATATTTACAGGATTTTGCACTGTGCCAAATTAATCAGTTTCTTAAAATTCATGGCCAGGCACGGTGGCTCACACCTTTAATTCCAGCACTTTGGGAGACGGAGGTGGGAGGATCACCTGAGGTCAGGAGTTTGAGACCAGCCTGGACAACATGGTGAAACACTGTCTCTACTAAAAATATAAAAATTAGCCAGCTGTGGTGGTGGATGACTGTAATCCCGGCTAGTCGGGAGGCTGAGACAGGAGAATCATTTGAACGCAGGAAGCAAAGGTTGCAGTGAGCTAAGATCCCACTACGGCACTCCAGCCTGGGTGACAAGAGCAAAATTCTGTCTCAAAAAAAAAAAAAAAAATCACATAAAATTATAGTAGCATAACAGCCAAAAATCATATAGTACAACAGTTGAAGTCAAACAAGATTTTTGTTTTCCAAAGTCTCTGAGAGCACTGTGAGAAATGTGCCCCACATAAGCATAAAGAGAATTCCTCCTAAAAAAAATTATTTTATCATCATCAAACAGCATTTATTCAACACCCACTTGGGCATCATGCAGTACCGAATCCTAAATGAGAAAGGCGGAATTCTCATTTAGGAATTCCTCTCATTACTGGAGGAATTCTCACTTTATGCCAATCCGTAAGTAGAAGTTCTGAGAGGAAGAAAAATAAAAGCAATGCATAGTTCACTTTAAGTCCATAGACCATACAGACTTTAATTTGCATTGAAGCAAGTAGCTCACTGGCAGAGAAGGTATCTTACATATTTTATGTTGAAAAATTAAAAAGAAAAGGCTAAAGGCATCAGCATGTGTCCCTGCCTTCAACTCCCTCTTAATTCTCCACTTTACCTCAATTTGTCCTTCTTTCTATTATAAACTGAAGTAACCATCACAACTCTAATGAGTTCTACACCCCTTGCTAAAGACCTATACCTACTTTAAATTTGGAAAAGAGATAAAGGAAAAGCAAGGTTTCCAACCTATCTTTTTAAACAGTTACGAGCTGTATTGGTATATTATATACATTAAACTTCTCAGATTTTTGTAACTATACTCCTGCAGCTTTATATTGCCATTCCTATAGCAAGCTAAAATGACAATGTATGTTTCAAAAATATAAAACAATTATGCTCCCTGCAACTTTCATTATTAGGATGGCCTCAATGATTTTATCAATTTAAATTTAAAAAAAAAAAAAAAAACACAAAAAAATGTTTTAAAACACAGTTTAAGGTCAGGTGCGGTGGCTCATACCTGTAATCCCAGCATTTTGGGAGGCTGAGACAGGCAGATCATGAGATCAGAAGTTAGAGTCCAGCCTGGCCAACACAGTGAAACCCCATCTCTACCAAAAATACAAAATTTAGCTGGGCGTGGTGGTGGGCACCTGTAATCCCAGCTACTCAGGAGGCTGAGGCAAGAGAATCGCTTGAACCTGGGAGGTGAAGGTTGCAGTGAGCCAAGATCGCACCACTGCACTCCAGCCTGGGCAACAAAGTGAGATTTCGTCTCAAAAAAAAAAAAAAAAAGAAAAAGAAATGAAAATAAAAACATAGTTTATACTTTTGCCCAAATTTTAGCATCTTTATTATATGGTACTGTGCCCTCTACTGAATTTTAAAATATATGTATAGCCATAATACTTGTTAGATACTGTACAAAATTATGAAAATGTTACATATCTCAAAGGCATTACTGTGATTATTTAATTGGCTAGTGATGACAAGATAGATAGCTGTGTACAAAAATAAAATGGAAGTGTGCCTGAGTTGTATCAAAACTCACAAAGGAAATTCATTTGGGCTGATAATGATCTAGAGAGCTCAGGAAAGCAACACTTGCAAGGTTTGCTGCCTACTTCTCAGTCTGCACTTCCGATAGTACTTTCCCATGCAATAACATTTTATTTAACATAAGGAAGCAGGACGACTATTTTGAGGAGAAATTATCATCCATTAGATTACCAATAGCACAGCATATGACTTGGTACAGCAAGGGAAAAAAAAAAAACAGGAATGGGGTTGATCTTGAAGGGGAGATAGGACTATGTTAAGCACCATATTTGTGCTTGTGCACTTGTGTGTATTTGAATATGTAACAGTCACAATACTATCTATATTTAACTAAAGTGATTATCTACTGTAAGACAAAACAGTTATTCCTTATTCTGAAGCATATATGTTTTAAAACAAACAAACAAAAAACAAATAACATCGCTTTACTGAATCCTACTTTCTGCTTAGCAATCCCTTATTATATCAGAAACGATTCCCTAAGCAGATTAGATGGAAGACTTCTACAAAAGATGTCAGAATAATGACTCAGTGGATACAGGTAAACTTTATGTCTCCAACTCTGTTTAACTGAGATATTCCCCTTTTTGTGTAATTCCTAACCTTTTTATTCAATAACTTTCTTATCATTATGAGAAAACTAAAAATCAGTGGTTCTTAACCTTTTTTTTTTTTTTTCCGATCCCCTTGAGATGTACATGCCATAATTCATCTCAGGGCAACATGTAATCACAAGCATGTCCAAGCCAGTGATTCTTAAACATTTTTAGGTCATTGAATCTTGCTACAGAAAAAAATGCACATAAAGAACTTAGTCTGTACTACTAAGGCCTTCACAGATTCTCTGATTTAAAAGAAAGGGGATAAAAGAAGAAAGATTCCTGGGGAAAGTGTCTGAGTTAAAAAGGATCCCTGGGCCACACTTTGAGAACCACTAATACAGAAGTTAGTCTGTTCAAATATTTTGGAGGACTAAGGATTACAGTGTAAATAAAGGACTTTTACAATCTTACAGAAGACAGAACTGAAAAAGAAAAAAAAAAAGCAAAGTACACATACATGATTTTTAAACAATCACAAGTTCCTTCTAAAGTTGCAGCTTCTATTACTATAAATGTTCCAACAGCCTCTAGATGACTAATCACCTTTGATTGAAAACTGCAGAGAGGACCGCAGCTTTGAAAAAGCAATTGTTAGACCACTTGTCCTCCAAAATCCCTTCCAAATGTAATATTCTAAGACTATATAAAGTGTGGCCTGGAAAAAGGCTTTTGAAGATGGGCCAAAACTCATAATTTCCATGACTCCAAACAGTCTAAAGCAAGAAAAGAATGATTATCTATATGTCTCCTATGCAACATAAAGTAGTAGTAATAATAATGACAATAATCGATGGTGTAGCTCTGTTTATTGGGTACTTACTTTGGGCTAAGCTCTAAGTGTTCACATAGATATTCATTTCTCCCAAGACCTTATGAGATAGGTGCTATTATTATCCTTTATTTACACTTATAAACTGAGACTCAGAAAACTCTATAACTTATTCATGGGCACACACATGGTAAGGAGTGGCCCAGTAGCTATGTGTCTGAGAACTTAAGGCAGACAAACCCCACTTCCACCACCTTACTAGCTTATGGCTCTGGACAAAGCTATTACAAGTTGGTGATTTTTTTTTTCTTTGAGACAGAGTCTTACTCTGTTGTCACCCAGGCTGGAGTAAAATGGTGCAATCTCAGCTCACTGCAAACTTTGCCACCTGGATTCAAGAGATTCTCCTGCCTCAGCCTCCCAAGTAGCTGGGATTGTAGCACTCGCCACCATGCCCAGCTAATTTTTGCATTTTTAGTAGAGACGGCGTTTCACTAAAAATGAATCCCCGTCTCTACTAAAAATACAAACCCCGTTGGCCAGGCTGGTCTTGAACTCCTGACCTCAGGTGATCCGCCCACCTCGGCCTCCCAAAGTGAAGCTGGTCATCTTTATATAAGGAAAATGAAGTATCAGTTGTCTGAAAAACACAAATGAGCATGTTGTATACTAAGGGGAGAAAAAAAGGAAAACTAAGTGAAACACTAAAACAGTATACATTTAAGAGGGAAAAATAAGAATTTTTCTGTCTGCCTAATGAATCCTTTACTACCTTCCTAATTTTTAGATGTTAACACCATACAATTTAGCAACATTTACTAGCCCCTACTCTGTCAAGCAACACAGGGAACCAGGAACAGAAAGATGAATAAGATACAAACTTTGCCCTTAAGGAGATTACAAGCTAGACACTAAAACACAACTGATTGATAAGGAAGGCTTTACTTATACCAAAGAAGGTGATATCTAAGCTGAGTCTTAAAGGATGAAGAATTTTGAAGGACAAAGAGGATCTTCTAGGCAGAGGGACCAGCATCAGGTAATAAGACAAAGGTGGATCAGGAGAATCCACAGACCCTTTGAAGGAAGTGGATTGCTCTGGCAGTCCCCAGAGACAGCTGAAAAACTGTGCTGCTATCCATGGCTGAGAGACCTGAAGACAGT